GCATATCAGGTGACGTCACGGTTCGACAGCCCAGAAAGGATTAATATTGTATAGCAATGCGTGGTTCGGGGTCTTCCTGTTTCCGGGCTGCTTTTGGCAGGCTGGGGGTTGGAAGATCTCTGGACTGGAAGTGTGGATTCTTGCCTGTGACTTTTTGAATAAACCAGCACTGCTATATTTTTTATATACTCAAGTGGTCTGAGTCGTCCCTCTGAGTTCCTGGTTTGAAAGAACCGGATGAGGCTTTATAATGGTTTTTAGCCTTTACATGGGTCTTGAATGTTGGCCAGTCCAAACTGGTGCTCCATGGTGCGACCAGCAGCAGTCACTTTGGATGTCCTTTCTCCCTTCATCTGTGCACTCTCTCCAATCACTGTGCTGATGCGGAGCTGGGTAGCTCTCCAGCCCCGTGGTTTCTGCCCTCTTGTCCCTGGCAATGGCCAGCTGGTTGGCTGGGTCCCTGCGAAGCAGGGGTGGTGATGACTGGGCGCGGTTCCTCCGCCTTGCCTGGTGGGAAACACTGGCTCCATCAGTGATCTCATTTTGGCAGGCTCCCACTGAGCTGGGGATGGCAGGCAATTTCCCTGGCGACTGTGGGCCTTGTGCTTCAGGTCATGTCTCTCTGCCCCCCAGTGCTACAATATGATTAATTGTCCTCACAGGCCCCGACAAAATAATGGATTAGAACTGGAATAATCTAAAAGCTAGTGAATGAAAAATGTATGGTGTAGAATAGAATTGATATAATGCATCTGAGCTATTTAAATTGTCTTGACTTGGCATTTAATTTAGTGTTGAAGTTTCTTGTACTACTTGATATTTTCTGCAAAAAAATCCCTTGTTATTGTCTCCTTTTGTTTATGCATGAGCAGTGAATATGATTTGTAAACATCTGTTGGAATCACACATTTTCAAATGTATTAACCAAATCAGCAGTCCTATACCCAGCAGACTTTACTAGAATTATAATCTGCTATATGCATGAACACTGCAAACCTTTGAAACAGATTGATGAAAACACATTTTTTAAACTTTGCCATCCCCAAACATTTCTTCACTACAAGCTGCACCCACCCACATAGCCACATTCAATGGTGACATCTTTCCCT